CTGATCAGTGTGTCTCTGTCTCTCTCAACTAATTTCAATTTTTAAGAAATTCACAAATGTGATTTCTAGAAAAATTCCTCTTCCCAGCAGTAAGAATTGCTTGGGTTTTCGTCCAAAAGATTGCACTGAATCAGAAAAAGACATGGGGAAATACTTTCGGATAGTAAAATGTGAAGTAGAAATAAAATAAATTAAAATGACTTTAAGATGCATCTCCTGTCTATAATCTGATTTTGAATGTATATTTGTAAGGTAACTATATACCTTACTGTTTCAATAATGTATAAACTGCAGGTAATTTTAAAATCGTATTTAAATGACCATTTTTATTCCTTAATGATGCGAGTCTTTAGAATTACAGTTTACTGATTTGGTTACACCCAGACAGTGAAGGCAGTAAGTTGGCATTAAGTTTTGTTTTGTTTCCTTATACCTTCTTAATTTTAGTACAACCAAATGACAAAACAAAAAGGTGCTTTTTTTTTAGTTTAAGGTAATTACGGCTTTCTTAGCTATGCCAAAAATATTTTATGTTAATGGGCAAAATGATATAGATGGCACTTAAATGGCTTATGATCAGGATCTCTGCAGTATGTTTGTAGCTTCTCTCACTACATGTTACATGCAACAAATCTGGACAGAACAGAGAGTACTGACTTATTTCTCTTCAGTCAACCTTAATTCTGTAATCTGTAGCAGAAAAAAGCATCTGTTTACAGAAATAGTAAGATAAATTTGTATTCATGCCTTTCCCCAATAATATTTTTATTTTGCAGAACTTTCTTTTGTTGGGTAGGAGAGGAGGGATGATGTCAAATACTTAGATATCCCTTGACACTTATTTACCAATTCACAGGAATGTTATCTATTTATCTGTTGGTAAGCCTGCTATCACAAGAATTAATATTGTATATTTTCTTCTTTTTTTTTTTTCTTTTAATAGGAAGTATGCTTCCAGTTTTCTGTGTAGTGGAACATTATGAAAATGCCATTGAGTATGATTCTAAGGAGGAGCATGCAGAATTTGTGTTGGTGAGGAAGGACATGCTTTTCAATCAGCTGATTGAAATGGCATTGCTATCACTTGGATATTCTCATAGCTCTGCTGCCCAAGCAAAAGGTACATATAACTGCTAAAGTGCACGGTAACTTGTGTTTATTGTCTGGGGGAAGAAATTCCTAGGATATCTTTTCAGAAATGTAATGCAGGTGGGCTTTCTACTCTTTGTAGATTGTCTCTAAACCTTTGTTTAGTTAACACACATTTTGCTTCTGTGGAATGTTGAGGTAGATGATTATTTAAAAAAAAAAAATGACTTGAAGTGAATCATTAGTATGCTTATTGACCTTAATAATCTGCTCCACTGAGGATCCACAAGGAAGTGTAAAGCATATTTGAGCAGATGGACTGTTGAGAGTCAACTTGCATTTATGACTGAATATCCAGCTCTGCTTCTTTTACTCTGTTCCTGATGGTTTTATGGACTATAAAGTATTTTTCAGTATTGAGTTTCTGCATTATTAAATCCTATATAATTAGTAACAGGGTTTATGAATGATTATATCTTGTCTTGGTGCGTTCAGTAACTTAGGAAAAATTGGTTCTATACATAATATTTTAAAGATGCTTGTTGTAATGTATTTATGTAATTTCATAGTACATGTAGCAATTTTTTTTGTCTCCATCCTCAAACGAACATGGTAGCAAGGACTGTTTTATATGACTTAATTTCAGATTTTCTTTCTGCCCCTCGCCCCATGCATTGCAAGGTAAGCTATTTTAATAAATACGTATATATTTTTGTGTGTCATAGGGCTAATCCAGGTTGGAAAGTGGAATCCTGTTCCACTCTCCTATGTGACAGATGCCCCTGACGCCACAGTAGCAGACATGTTACAAGATGTGTATCATGTAGTCACACTGAAAATCCAGTTACACAGGTGAGTTACATACCCCTGTTGGGACACAAACTGCCATTTGGCCACTATTATGACTAATAATAATATCCCTAGTTTTAATTCCCACTGTGCTGTGCCCAAAGTACAGAGACTTATCTAATTTACTTTTAAGTCACTGTAATTCTTCTTAAGTTACAACATACCGTTGCAGAAAACTTTTATAGCTCTGATACATAGATTTTCTTTGGATATCTCATTAAAAGAATATTGCATTTTAGTCAATTAAATGATGCATTACAAGAAGGCATTTTACATAAAGTTTACTTAAGAGAAAAATATTTTTGCATATCATGAACAGTACCATCTGTGTGCATTTTGTAAAAGAATGACTTGCTCACACTTATTGTTGCTGTCTAGGTTCTTAAATTTCACAGTAACAAAAAAGAAAAAATGGTTAATATATTAATGCTTTTCATGATCAGTCGTGAGAAAGCATTACACCTTAAATTGTTTTACCAAGCGCATCAGAGCAGGAAGGTAGAAGTAACATGAAAAAATAGTCGCCACATGCAGCTGATGTATAATTCATGCATCAATACAGCAGATGTGTTGTATAAAGTAATTAACTAATCGGAACAATCAGGAGACCGAGAGCAATCTCCAGATGCATCTGCTTGATGCGCAAAATGAAATCTGTCTGTCTTAAAGGAATGTTCTGCAGCAGGATGCAATCTTGTAATAATCCCTTTCCTAATCTATGTTTCAAATAGTTGCCCTAAACTAGAAGACTTGCCTCCTGAACAATGGTCTCACACAACAGTAAGAAATGCTCTGAAGGACTTACTGAAGGATATGAACCAGAGTTCATTGGCCAAGGAATGTCCCCTTTCACAGGTACTTAGCATAACGTGTAATAAATAATAAAGCACTATAGGCAATGCTGATATGAGATTTGAGATTTCCTCAGACTGTAGCAAGTGGTATCTGAAGAGTGGATCTGCCAAAATGCAGATTCATTTGACCACTTACAATCTCTCTTAAAATGCTCGATTCATTTTGAACATAGTTTTACAGAATTTTCCCTTAGGGAGCTGTGAATGACTGTTTCCACTACACTAGATAAGACTAGAATTATGTCACACCAAACTGGATTGTAACTGGTTTAGTCTTCAGTCTTTGAACTGCTTTGATGTAACTGCCTTTTTTTCAGGCGTGTGTTGAAGTTGTTAAAAGGCTCCCTACTTACTGCTGTCAAAAGTACTATTGAATTTGACTGCTTGTTAGATAACCTACACTAGTTTTAAATGCTAATTCATAAAACTAGACAGTCTATTTTGGCATACCATATGAGTGGGGGGAGAAAAACAGAATAAAGGTTCTTAATGTGTTTGTTAAAAACAACCAAAAGAAAATCAGTCATTTATTTTAACTAATCAAAATATATTTAACAGGAATAAAACCTTATATTACCCATTGCTAAACACTGAACTGCAGCTTTCCTTAAGGCTTTGTTGCATTGTTCTTTTTGTCAATTATTTAAACTAGCGTGAAGGGAGAGACTTATTTTCCTGTGCTGTGCAGCGAGTGTCCAGTGATATTGAGGTGGGAGCCACAGATTTATTGTTCTATTTTTTAAATGTATTTTGCTGTGCTGCAGTTGAGATTTTAAGACAGAAATTGTGGTATAAATAAGTGATTCTGGTCATAGTTAGATGGGGAGAGGAAAAGGAACCCAGATTGTATTTATTTATTTCCCTTCCTCAGCCTACTTAAGTCCTTCAGAAGCAGAGCCATCGGTTGGTTTAAACAAGATGGCTATATCTAGCAGATACTTTAGCAAAGGTTGTTTTCCTCTCACTATATTTTTTCCTATGGTTAGATTGCTTTCAGTGATTTGGCTTCAGTCTAGGAATTTTTGGAGTGGAAATAATCAAAATTATCTTCACTGGTTGCAAACCATTCCAGTAATATTTTTGCAAAACTATCTTGTATGTACCTACTGTACAAGCATGTCAGCTCTTGCACTGCTGACTTACGGAGACTGCAGATAATTTAGGATTTGCTCCACCTTAGTCCACCAGCTTTACTTTTTTAACATATTGATGGTAGGTAGTACATTGTTTGGCAACAGATTATCCAGCTAATTTTTTTGGCATAGTGTCTCACGTTGCAAATTGTCTATATGTACTCATGATGCAATGACAAAACAGTACAGCTAAAGGAATGCGTCTTCAGATTCCGCATGTACTTTTTGGTGGAAAATAAATAAATTCTACGTCTAAGTACTATTTAGTGAACACTGAATTGCCTTCCTCTAATTTAAAAGGACTGTGTCATTTAATATTTAACAAGACCATCCAGGTTGATCACCAGGGATCCTGGTTTTCTCTGATTTTTGAAAGAACTCCCAATTTTTCAGTTTAAAAAAAAATGTAACCCCAAATCCATATTTTTCCACAATGGAAATGAAATATCGCTATGTGTATATCTATCTGTCTGTCTATTAGTGGTGTTTCATTTAAGTCACAGAAAAATGTGGATTTGGGGTTACTTTTTTAACTAAAAATTGGGGATTTTTTTAAATCGGAGAAAACCAGGATTCCTGATAATTGCTTGTAAGACTAGTAAAATAAATGGTTACAAAATCCTAAAATTTGCTGTGCTATTTTATGGGTAACTTTTCCTTTCCCAAGTTTAAAGAATTCATTCTTTTGTTTTTTACAGGTTTTTTTGCTTTTATTTCATAGCGAATCTTTCTTTTCTTAGCTCCTTATCTAGCCAGGTACTGAAATATTTGGATTGCAAGTTAAAAATATCTTGAAGAAATTTGATCCCTTCATGAATGTTTTTTAAATCACACATGCATACTCGTGCATACATGCACACTACAAATTTCAGGAAAAATACATATTTTAGGACAAATGTATGTAAAAATGAGCATTTTTTTTTATATGGGCTGATCAAAGATCCATTAAAGCCGATGTAATCTTTTTCCTCTGACTTCAGGGAGTGGGTTTTTTTTCTTTAAACAAGCCATCAGTACTTAAAACTTTGACCTAATCATGTCCTTTTAAATTGGCTAAATAAGATTAAATTGTTTCAGACCGAACAATGACTAATAGACTATATCCCTAAATACATTACTCTTTCATATGAAAGGCACTCTTTTGAGTCTCTATTTCCTAAACACTTTGAAATTTGGGAGTGCTCTGGAATGCATGTATTCTCAGTCCAGAGATCAGGAATAAGAGCAAGCAACAAGCTTAGGGGCATCTTCTTCCTATCAAATCACATAAGCACTGGTCTTTGCTCTGAGAAAAAGAGGTACTCATGGTTTATGCTTTTGTAGACATAGGTGCAGGTATGTTGTATTCCATCATAAAAATAAACCATCACAGTGACTTTTATCATAGCTTTTGTATGTTGTTATTGATGTAATTTTATTAATTGACAAATGCTTCAGACCAGAATCAAGGACATCTACCACCATCCTGGTTTAGGGAGAAAAGGGTTTTTGTAAAATAATATAAGCTGGTTTAGTGTATGAACAGCATTGTTAATGCACAATTTGAGAGTGGGAAGTTAGAGAATGATAGCCTAAATTTAGAATTTGTCTACTCTGTCAGTTTTTCTTTGATTTTTTTGTGTGTCCAAAATAGTAATATTTCTGCACTGTAGAAATCAACTAAATATATATCTAGTAGGATTTGCTGGTATAGTTGTTAATGGGCAGTTCAAGCCATATAGACAAATATAATCTGTCCTTGTGACCAGGATTATCTGTCTGTCTAAATTATGCTTCTAAAATCATTGGGATGTATCTTTTGACTTTACTACCTTTTCCCATTTTGTCATTCATTTGCTTTAACTTACTGTCATTGAAACGTCAGAGTATTGTGGTGTGCACTTTTGTCCACCACTCTTTTTTTTCCCTATGCTTTCCTCTAGCAAAATGCTATTTCGGCACTCTTGCACTGGTAAAAGGGGTGGAATACACAGCCTTTTCCAAGATTATTGTAGCTAACTTGTTCTGAGAATGTTGTGGCAACTCGCATTTTTCTTTTCCCCGTGAAGCCAAGTTTATCACTTGCCATGCTGGCCTTGATCACCAGGAATTCCCAGTGAAACAAATCTGAACTTGGTGGATAGACTGGAGGTACTATATGGCTCTAAATTACCGTGCAAACTTCAGAAGTCCAGAGGTTATTCTTAAATTCTGGCTGCAAGCAAGCAAGCTAAAAAGATAGCTACTAACTTTAGATGATTATTTCAAACTCTTTTGAATTTGATAAGCTACAGGACATTTTGCATACTGGTGATTCCAATGTTATGTTAGGCTAGCAAAAGATGTAAAGGCAACATAAGGAGCTTCCCATTTGTTTTATCCATTTTGGCTCCATTTGTGTCCTCCCTTATTATCTGTTGCTGGGAAGGAGACTCTTTTTAAATTCCATCTCCTGGGAGTTATGAATCAGAGCACTTACATGGTGTCCTTGGCCTTGCTTTCTCCCCACTTTTGGCTATACCACTTCTAAGGAAACTGTAGACAAACTACCATAAATTCTTGGCCCCACCTACACGCACCCAAGCTTTGAATTGCACAAAGTTACTATAACTTCCCTTCAGGCTCCCTTTGTATTTACTTTGACTTCAGTATTTAAAGATAACCTCAATGTGAGTGCTAAAGATTAATTCTACCTCTGAACTTCCATTGATACTTTGGATTATATAGTACATGTTCTTAATAAATGAATACTAAGGATTTGGTCTATTTATTCACACTTGCACACAATCTGATATATTAGAGTAACAGGTCAGGCTGCTGGCCTGAGAATGGGCTGGAAGTCTAGAACCCAGAATTGTATCAATAGTTCTGGAACCAACTAATTGAATGCCCTCAGCTCCTTGACTATATCCTTTATTTTAGTGTTCTCTTCTGTAAAATGGAAAGTTGATACCCTCCAAAAGAGGTGGCAGCATGATTACTCACCCTCCTCTAAAAAGGGGCAGCAATTACCATTTGTTGAGCATCCCTGATCACTGTCCCTGACCTCTTTTATAAAACCACTCCTAGCAAGCTGCTACCCACCCCCAGAAGCTGACTTTTTAATCTATCAAAATATGCTTATGAAGAGTAGTCATCAGAAAGGTTTACTGTTTCTTTCCCTTTTTTTTTCCTCCATTCCCCTCCCCCCCCTTAAACTTGATCCCAAACATTCAGATTATACTGACCTAAGGTTCAGGGTAGGCAGTATCCATTCCTGGTGTCAGTGACAGATTAAAGGCCTTGCTATGTCGTAACCCTTCAGGGCTTTAAAAAAGAGCTTTCTGTCCTTGGGGAGGCAAGTGGGGCAGTGGAGGGAGAAGGCATTTTTTCCAGTTTTGAAATGGGTGTACAGCAGTCACCTGTAGCTCTCAAAGAGCCTGTGATATTTTTGGACTCCAGGATTTTATGCATAGTAATGTTACATGAGGTATTTTTTTTAGGATGTGTAACTTCTGATTTTCTTCCTCCCCCCTGCCCCCGTTCTGCTTTTCAGGGGGTTTTAAGGCTGTGCTCATGATACTGAGGAAGAAAATAGCTTTTTAGATGAAGGGGAAACATATATTCTGCATATATGTCACAGCAATGAATGCATGTATAGTACTAAGGTTTTAATAGCTTCATACTTGTGATTAGTGCACCCATCCCAAATGCATTCTGATCAGACTTAAGTAAACGGCATGCATTGTGTATATAACATTTCCCTTCTCTTTCAAATATCAGTCCCTGAATCCGCAAATTGTTGTGTGTGTGGGGACCCTCCAAAACAGAGTTTGTGGGTGCCAAGATATGCGGACATAGAACAAGTATTTTATGCACTTCACCTGACCTAGTAAATTTGTGTTAAAGT